CTGTCTGAGTGTATAGTTCATTCTGAGTGTGTCACTGTTGGGCCATTTGGACAAGTGCATGCCTAGAGCTTGGGAAAAGCTGTGTTTGCTCTGTCCTGGACTTTGTGCAGTGTTTGCTGAGTTTCTTTCCTTCCTCTTTGAAATACTGTGAAGTCTCTGCATTATGTGTGTCTGAGAAGTATTCGTTGAATTTGTGAATGGCAGGGCTACATATATTAAGTCTCTCTGCAAGGACATTCCCCAATTTGCCATAGTAAGTAGTTAATACTTGTTGAGGGAACCCTTTTTCTGAAATGTTAGACAAGAACTGGTAATTTAGAAGTGCTCTCATGATGGGTCAGAGCGAAAGCACAGAGGTACGGTGTTTGCCTTGCATGCAGCCGACCTGGATTTGGTCTCCGGCATCCCATATGTTCCCCTGAGTAACCGCCAGGAGCAATTCCTGAGTGCAGAGCCAGGACTAACCCCTGAGCATCACCAGGTGTGACCCAAAAAGAAAAAAGAAAAAAAAAGAAAAAAGAAAAAAAAAGAAAGAAAGGAAAGGAAAGAAAAAAAGAAGTGCTCTCATGAAATCCTCAGTGCTGCCAACTTTTCCGTTTCACTTAAAGTATTCCTTTATCTCTGCAACAGTTGGACTGAGAATCTAGAAGGCTAAGCAGTGTTCTAGCACATTCCCCCAGCAGACACATGCACATGCACAGCCATTTAGATTTACTTGACCTAGAATTTGTCCGTTAGGTACACAGGATACGAAAAGGATCAATGAAAGTGAAACAAACTTAATGTACTTCATGAAGGACAATGAGCAGCTTACAAATGAACAATTTTCTAAAAGGTAAAAGGTAAAGGCCCTCCCGTTGATCGTCGATTTGCTCGAGCGGGCCCAGTAACGTCTCCATTGGAGACTTTGTTGTTACTGTGTCTGGCATATCGAATACTCTCGGTAGCTTGCCGGGCTCTCCGAGAGGGGCGGAGGAATCGAACTCGGGTCGGCCATCTTGGCCACTTGTAAGGCGAACGCCCTACCTGCTGTGCTATCGCTCCAGCCCAATTTTCTAGAGAGTGGAAACACAGCTTGTTAGGTTGACAAGAAGATGCTGAAAGCAAGAAGTCCAAGAAATATATGTGTGAAGCTGACCCTTGAACCATTCAGGTTTGAGGGTAACAGACCTTGGTGCTGATGAAAAATTCTTTTTCACTTTTGACTTCCCCCAAAACTTAGCCTCTGTCATCCCTTAGTATCCCCAGGGCATTGGTTTCAGTACCCCCACTTCCTTGGATACCCAAGTTCAAGGATGGTGGAACCCCTTCCAGTTGACTCCCCATAGTGATGGTTTTGTATTCACTGATTGAGTCAAACGATAGTTGGCTGAATCTGTGAATTAGAACCTGCAGATAGACAAGTATCTCATGTAAGTACAACCTCATGTTGTTTAAGAGTCAATTGTTAACTTCTCACCATAGTAGCTAAGATCACTAATAAGTAGGAATAAACCAATATGATGACTTTTTTGAAAGGAACAAAAACATGAGTCTGATAGATACAATATTATATGTTAATATAATGTTTAAACTCTAAAATCATATCTATGATGTTAATAATAATAGTAATCATGACAATAACGTATTCCATCTAGGATATCTCACCTCCTACTTTATTTAATACTTAAGTAGTAAATTCTGCACAAAAATAACCTTTTTGGCCTGTGTGAGTTATTTCCTTCTAGGATAGAATGAAAAAATAGGATAAGTTCAAATTTTTCTTGTTCTTTAAAAGATAGCATTTTAGTGCCATTCATATTTTGTTGGCTAATAATGCAATGCCTAGTGCCATTTTATATTCTGAGACCTTATTCCCAGTGAGCCTCAGACTTGTGGAAACTGCAGTGTGTAGAATCACTTAGGTGGGTGTGTTGCTGAATCTCTCTCTCTGACTGGTGTTTCGAATGTCTTCGTGGGAGGTTTGAAATGAGTGTAGAGTTAAATTCATGAAGAGTTGAACATAGTGCACAGTTGGGTGTTTTTTTCTAGCAACTTAAAAAGTCAATGGAGGTGTAAGGTATGCAGTGAAATAAAGAAGTATACCACTGGAAACACTATTTAGTCAGAATTCTGATGTGGAGAATTCATGCAGCTTAGAGAGCAGATATTCTCCAGAAGTAATGGTTTCTGCCTCCACTCACCCAACGAAGCCTCTTGATGAGAGAAAGTTTGTTAAAATACTAATTATAATCCTTAAGCCTGTGTGGCCCTAATATACAAATACCCTTGGGTGTGCATAATATTGACTGACAATAAAAATAAATGTAGTGGCATTTCATACGGTTGAGTGGCATAAACAGAACCCATGGGGACACAGCCTGGAATTTGGGGTGTTCTACAAGTCAGAATGGTTCGTGAGAAGGACAAGGAAGTGAATGTAGGTTCAGAGCAACTGAGCTGGGAGGATCAGGATACAAGAGGAAGAGTCTTCAGAAGAAATTGCATATTACCAGGGATGCTTCTCTAGTAAGGCCCAAAAGAGCTGTTATGGGAGTCAAGAATTCTTCTGAGGTGAAACAGTGAAATTGGGGCTACTGGGTTAGCAACTCCAATGGAAAGTTCCTGAAAGTAGGTACCACTCTGAGGGCTTTGCTACCAGTCAACCTCCAGCTTCCTGGACTTGGTCGGGCCGGCAGTGGTGCTCTGTCAGGCCCATGCTGAACTAATGGAGTTAGTTGACATCGTTCACCCATTGCCGAAACCCGAATGCAGGAGACCAAGTTCTTATTAGCCTCTGGAAGAAACAGGATTCCCCTCTACATGTGTGAACCAAGTCTTGCTGTGTGCCTCTGCCTGTGTTCTTCACTCCCTTTGCCAGATAAGAAGGAGATGGTTATTTATCTTTGGAAGAGTGATAGTAAATGATAGAACAATTCAGTTAATGGACGAGCCATTTGGGGTGAAGCATCATCATTTATAGGAGCTGATATTAGACTGAAACAGTTAAGTGTACATTAGGTACCTTGAAAGCTAGTGATCAGATGGCTCTTGAGGGAAAAATAAATGAGGGACACAGTAGCCAAACTTTATATTCAAGAGGAAACCAACGCAGACTTTGTACTTGGATGATGCTACTGTCCATTGGCAATTAATCTGTGCTTTAGTCACCTACAGATATACTGAGAAATTTAAACTCTGAAAGCCTGATGTTTTAAAACTTCAGCAATTTGACAACTTTCCTACTTTGTTGACCAGAGTTAGAGCAGCTTAACTCACTTAAAGCAATTGGTTCTTGTGCAGTTAAAGTGAACGTAAGACTATTTGTCAATTACAGCTCAACTTCTACAAGACTGAAAAATTTAATTGACCCTTGCTTTATTTTCAAAAGAGCTGCTTTAGGGGCTGGAGCCATAGCACAGCAGGTAGGGCATTTGTCCTGCACGTGGCCAGCCCGGGTTCAATTCCCAGCATCCCATATGGTCCCCTGAGCACCGCCAGGAATAATTCAGTAATTCCTGAGTGCAGAGCCAGGAGTAACCTCTGTGCATCACCAGGTGTGACTTACAAAGCAAAAAAAAAAAAAAAAGTTGTTAACGCTGAGGGGTAGAGAAATTGGCCTTTACCAAAATGTAAATCTTTCTTTACTGCAAGGACACTACAAAGAAGAGGAAAGAACCACAGAATAAGCAAATCATAGATTTGATAAGGGACTTGTGCGCAGAATATTTAAAGGGCACTTCCAGGTCAGTAAAGTAAAAGTAAAGTAAAGTAAAGGCCCTCCCGTTGATCATCGATTTGCTCGAGCGGGCCCAGTAACGTCTCAACACAAGTAATCATGGGGCCAATTCATTCACCTTTGGTAGCACTGCATTTTCCGGCATATTCTTGGTTTCTGACAAGTTGGGATGGGGTGGTAGGGTAGGGCAATTTAGTGCAATTGCTCATGTTTTCCCCATTTTGCATCAGCCTCTCAATAATCTGGTCTGATGGGAATGATGGTGGCTAAAGTGTCCCTCCAGGCTTTCGCCACCAAACCCCAACAATCCTTCTCAGCCGCCTCCCCATTCTCTCCTCCAAGAACCCCCTGCTGTCCAACCACAGCCCAGTCCTATGGCTGCCGTGTCCCCCAACTTTTCTTCCTCTTCCTTCCTGACAATATTTCAGCCCCCGCGTCTCTAGGCAGTTCAACCCCTCGTGAAAATACACCTCAATGCCCAAGTCAATTCTAACACATTTCAGTAGTTCTCAAAAAACCAGAGTCAGAGAATGGCCTGTGTTCCTGGGAGCCCACAACACCATGGCAATTTGAAGGTATCCTTGGTGGATCCAGGGGGCCCTTCTCTTTGAAGAGAGTGCTGGAGAGTGGTCAAAATTGGTGCCACCCTCTCCCGCAGGAGGGATCTCACTGGTGGCGGTATTTCAGAACGAGGAACCAGGAAGCTATGCTACAGCCAGAGCACTGCTAAGACACAGGACTGGGTTCCCAGACTGAGTCTTCCAAAATTCAGAGACATCCATTCCAGTTGCAAGCCTGCCATCTGCCTGGAAGTGATTGCATTTGGGTTTGCCCAACTCCCACCCCGTTAGCTGCTTGGGAGTTAATCATCTGACCTGACCTGACCGTTGACCCTGAATTATTAGCAAGTGACTTTGCATTCCTCTTCCCGTACTTTCTACCCAACCGGTTTGCTGCTAGCTCAAGCCCCAGCTGCATGCCCTTGGAATGACGCAACCTCCTGCTACCTGCTTCCACCTGGTTCTACTGGAACTCACATCTACTCTTTTTGGAAAACTAAACCGTAAAAAATAAATGTAATGGCATTTCATTTATTACCTCCCCTGCGCCAGCTGAGTGGATGAATTGAGTTTGTTTCTTTTATTTCTCTCTCTCTCTCTCTTTTTTATTGGATGCTCTTCCTTCCGGTTTGTTGTCTTGGGTTTTTGGTTATGCTGGCTTGGTTTGCCTTCTTGCTCTCCTATTTTCTTATTTTTGTTTTCTCCATTCTTCTCATTTGGAGGCAATGAGCCATCCAGCGGCCGGAACTCCCCTCTCTTTTACCGGCCAGACAGCCGCCCTCTCACTCCAACTTACGCTCAGGCCCCTAAACATTTCCATGTTCCAGGTAGGAGCTGACACGGTCTATGTCTTGGTGTCTGTCCCAGTGTAGAATGTAGCCTTGTTTCCCGTGTCTTGTCTCCATTCCTCATGCTCTTTAAATTGAGACGCACATGGTTGACAAATCCTAAATTGCAGGATCGGACCCCAAAGGCCTTTTTGAAAGTTTTGCATGTGAAAAGCCAGGATGGTATTGAGCATACTCAGGCTTCTCCAAGTTTTTATTTCTTTTATTTTTAGAAGGGAGCAGAAAGGTCAGGTTCTGAGGGTTGAATTGGCTTGGGTTGGTTCTGCATAGAATTTTCATTTTACCTGTATAAGTCGAGCTTCCTTATCATCATGCCGTGGTTTGGTGCCACTGACAATGAATCCTGCTGGCAATTTCGTTATTTTCTCTTAACGACCGAACCACAGGGTATAAAACCAGATTCATGATCGGTCTTCCTGCAGAGGCCAAGTTCTCCAGCCATGCCCAAAGCCTACAGAACTATCTTGCAATTTAGGTTGGATGTCGCAGCTTCGCTCTGGAGCCATAAACATTTGCTGTCACCATGCAGAGAGGATTTTGCCCCTTGGAAAAACTGGAACAGTGAGAACCCACAGAGATCTTTCTGTTTCGAGTCAGCTCAGTGTGTGAGGACCAGCTTGGCCATCAGAGGTCATCACCATCTGAGGTCATGGTACTCTTTTTCCACTGGAAGGACGTTGTTGTGCTTCTGGTAGCCATGGAGAGTTGTTGGATGAAATCACTCACTCTGCGAACATGCTGCATAGTTGGAGCTTGTCAGCACTTAATTTTTTCCTTCTGCCTCCTAAGCTGAACTGATACAGAACTCAGGAAAGTTCCATGTTCAAGTTAGGGGTTGACACCGCTAAGGGAGGATGACTGCCTCTTTTCAAGTTTCTCTGAGCCTTGAAAATCGTTTTGTTTTGTCCATGGACGAGTCTGTCACCCTAAGAACACCTCACCGAGAAGCAATGAGTGTCCAGAGGACTCAGGGGCAGCAGCCCTTTGGAAATGTCCTGGTATATTTGCAGGCCAAGTGAAATGGTCACGTGATCAAACAGGGTCCTGTCTAAGACAGGACTCAGATTTGGCACCTGGTTTCTTTTTTTTTTTTTTTTTTTTTTCCCTTTTTGGAAAATCTGGCCCTGGCAAGTCAGGTTTGTTGAACATCCTGGTTCGTGCGTCAGGCAGACCTGGTCCATGAGGTGTTCCTCTGTTTCAGCTGTTAGTCTGACTACATTGCTTCCCCCGTGACACTCATTGGTTGAAAAGGAAATTGAGCTTCCAGTGTCGGCTGGGAGCTCAATTTCCAGAGGAAACAATTTGGGGACTCTCCCCCCAAACTGGTTATGTCTTTCCCCACCCTCCCTCCACCTCCCACCTTGAGTTCTCCACTGCCTGCCTTCCCTCCTCTCATCACTTCCCTTCAAGCGATGTGTGTACTTGAAGTAAGCGGCCCATGACTGAAGTACATCTCCGTCCGCCTTCCCACGTATTACAAAGGGTTCCATGTCATTTGTCTGTAGTCATCTCTGTACGATTCCCTCCAGTAGCCTCCGTCTTTGTAATACAGAAGCCAACAATTGTGCTGGTTTGTGTCTCTTGGAGAGTCTTCGGTTCGGTTTGTCCCTCGGGTGGTCTGTGGATGCCATCGCTGGACCGGTCCCCGTACTCACATACCTCTGCTTTTCATTTCCACAGATGAAGGGGTCAACATCTACCGGAAGCCGCCCATCTACAAGCAGCATGGTAAAACCCGCTTCCTTCCGCGTGACTTTGAAGCGGCAGGCGCTGCTGACTTCTCTTTGCTGTCCTCTGAAAGGCTTCGGGGCTACTGTTTTGAAGGCTCACACTGGAGCCTCCAGCCTCAGGGGCTGCTTCGGGCCTCCTCAGATGCCAGTGGCGAACATCGGGGCTCCTAGATGGGGAGCACTTAGCTCTAATTAGGACGTTGCTCGTCCACCCAGCTGCCACTTCAGACATGGGAAAAGGCCGGGGCTACTTCCACTGTAATTGATAGTTACTCTAACAAGTCTGGGTTTGGGAATTTTTGTTTTCCAACTTTCGGCCATCAGTTAATTTAACTAGCCTCTTGTAATTTTGATTATAAGCTGGCCCTCAAGTTTTGCTTAATTAAAACTAGTAAGAGGGGGCTAGAGCTATAGCACAGCGGGTAGGGTTTTTGCCTTGCAGATGGCCCACCCAGGTTCGATTCCCAGCATCCCATATGGTCCCCCGAGCACCACCAGGAGTAATTCCTGAGTGCATGAGCCAGGAGTAACCCCTGTGCATCGCTGGGTGTGACCCCCCCCAAAAAAAACTAGTAAGAGGAACCACCCAGAGACAATAATTTGACTGAGTCTCCATCAATGTACCCCAAATTTCTTAGGGGGCTGGAGTGCCCTGGGGTGGAGTGGACAGGAAACTCCTCCCAAACTAAGGTCCTTGCGTTGGCCCCAGCTCTGCCCGTACCTGGCTGGACAGTTTCTTATCTGTCAAAATCCAGTGTATGTAGCCAGCAAGACTCTCGAATTCCTAAGTCTCCTGCAGGTGCAATTTATAGTTGTGTTTTTCTTCTCTGGGAATATAATTTTTTTCACCTAGAAAACTGCATTACTTGCTGTAAAATCATATATCCTCTGTGATCAGACAGATCAGATAGAAAGTTGAGATCAGGTAGTCTCGTAAAATGATGCACAAATTGTGCCTGGACATTTGAGGCTGCCTTGTGAATCCATCCTATACAAATGAATCCTTTAAGGTTTAGGATCCAGTGCAAAGCAAAAGCTGAAGATGCCCAAGGAAAAACTTTTAGGCCAAAGGTCTAGGGGGTGGGAAGGAGAATGTCTATTGTGATGGCTTTAGAACTATGATTTGCTTCGCTTCTTTGGTGTCCTTTCTTTTACATCACATGCTTGCTCTTTAAGTTTGTTAACATTGTTTTTGTTTGTTTTTTTATGGTTTAATGTCTTCTCACCCACTCATTAACATGTGAATGTTTACTGACTTCATCAATTCTAATGCGTAAGTACTGTTTGAAGTCATGCTTTTGAAAAAAAAAAAAACCCAAAAAACTAAGAGTCCCTTCTTTTGGTTGAGCAGTTTATGGAGATAAAAACAAAACAAAACTCTAGTCCTTCCTCTCTAAATAAAAATAATCAAATAATTAAAATTTTACATTGTATAATGTTATTTGGGGGAATAGATTAGCTTACTTGAATGAAGCTTCATTCATTAGCTTACTTGAATGAAGTTTATTTTGAATTTACTTTCTCTCAATCTCTTGTAATTAAGAAAAGCACAATCAAAATAACAAGGGCCCTGAACCTTCTGCAAGGCAGCAGTTCACTGCAAGAGAAAAAGACATTATTCCCCAAACAGATACATTATAAAAATGCTGGACATAAAGTCGTATCTTTTTTTCATACAGATATAAAATGCAGAACTACTCAGTCTTTAATGCACTGGTGCATTTTGCTTTTCTTCCAGAAGAAAGCATAGTATGCAATGTTTTCCAAGAAGAATTTTTTCTCCCATGAGGTTAGAGATTTAGAGTCACATGTCCCATGCCCTGGACAAGACTTTACCCCTTACTGCTGGTTGACTTTGCTTGGTCCACTTAAGCAGGACAAGACTCTGAAAAATACTTAGAGCCCAGAATGCTACTACTAATACTACTACTACTACTACTAATAATAATAATGTAATACAATTATAATGCAGATTCAAAAAGTTATTTGGAGATTTAAAATTTTTTGACCCCAGGGAGGAGTAAAGTTTGTTTTGAAGCAAAACTAAGGTATTTCAGAATGCTTAGTAACATCCCAGACCAATGAGTCAGAATCAAGCATGATTGATATACTTGCTTGGCTCTGCTCGGTCTTTGATTAGATTTGGGGCTTTAAGCCAGTGACCCTGGAACCTTGACCAACACTGAACTAATGCTGCTCTTGCCTGCCTTGGGTTGCAAAGCTGGGTGACTCATCTTCCATGCAGTCCCATAAACAGAACAGTGAGGGCCCAGACCTGGCTCAGGCTTAGTTCCCGCAGGCTAAGAATAGATTTTTTCCCCCTTTTCCATTTCTCCTGGAACTCCAGGGATGTGTTGAAGTGAACTGGAGCAAATATATCTGTGGCCAAGATGCCACAAAGATTCAAAGGCAGCTAGCACTCTTAAGATTAACACATAGCCGAATAACAGCATCCTGCTTGTAGCTCATCGATTTCAAATTACTAACTTGGCTTTCCAGTTGCTGTAGAAGAGTGGGCCCCGAGGGAGTAATGGTGATGTCCTTTCCCCATGCTGTCCAGTACAGCAGCCACTCACCCCATGTGGCTTCCGAGTACTTGCAATGTGGCAGGTGTGACTGAGGAACTGGATTTCAGTTGTATTTATTTGGGGGAGGGGAAGGGGCCTTATTTTCCTGTGTTAATTTGAATAGTCACATGTTGCCAGCAAGCTCGAGAAGAAGGATTTTCAGATATAGACAAATGGAGACAAAGCTTCTGAGTTGACGGGCAGAGGATGCTCTAAGTGGTCCCTAGGTCTCAGAGAACAAAGAAGCTGTATAAATGGGCTTGGACCAGCAGGACCTTGCAGACCAAGAGCTAAGCTCCCCCTGGTTCCCACCTAGATGCAGCTGCCTTGGCAGCCCAGAGCAAGTCTTCAGAAGACATCATCAAGTTTTCCAAGTTCCCAGCAGCGCAGGCTCCAGACCCCAGCGAGATACCAAAGATTGAGACGGATCACTGGCCCGGCCCTCCGTCTCTGGCTGCCGTAGGTACGCAACCCTTGCAGCTCAGCTCCGTGGACGAATGCCAGGAGCTCTGGCAGTGAAATGCTAGAAAGATGTGAGACAGTGTGTCCTTATCTTAAAGACACTAGGGAAAGGAGGTGGCAACAGAGCAAAGAGAAGGAAGCAAAGAGTTATGTTATGTGCCAGATGCTTCAGAGTTGTGAAACCCCACCTGTGAGATGGCGATGGATCTGACTCTTGCAGATACTGTGATTCTTGAATCAGGTCACTGCAGGCTCTCCATCAACAGAGCTGGTGGGTCGCTTGACTATAGAAGTATGACTTCCGGCAGTTCCATCTGTTTCTGACTTTCTGGGTGGGAATTCCAACTCTCTTAACCAGTCTTCACTCTGTGGAAACACTTTCACTTTCCTGGCAAAATCACCTTCTCCTTACTAAAGAAGGGCCACTGCCGAGACACGGGTGCACTAAGATCTTACTTAGTGACATGCTGTTCCATCTACCATCGCCATGAATTCTGTGCTGAAAATGTCACATTGGAGCTGTTTGCACACTTTTCTTTAAACCACAAATTTATGCTTTAGGTGGTGTCTGTGTCTTGACCCTTTTTTTTGTCCGTGGTGGGATCACTTGGCCTAAAAAGTGGTATTAGCAAACCCAGACGCTAATACCAAAGTGTCAGCTTTACAAAGATCATGCTACCGAGTCTTATGCCTGTTTCCCCATTTAATGACTTTAATTTTCTGAAACCTCCCAGTCTTCTTCATTATGCTAGGTCTCATCAGCTTTTTAGATACCTTTTAGAAGAAGAAACAATATAAGTGGGCTTTGAAGGGATTTATTGTTACAGACCTAGTTAAGGGAATGCTGGCTTGATCCAGGATGCCTGAGTATTCAGTCATCTATGGAGTTGACTTGAGATTTATATCCTCCATGCAAACTTGTGCCTGTTTTTGTTGGAGGTAGGACAGCAGTTGGGCTACAACCAGTGGTGATAAGGGCTTACTCCTGACTCTGTGCTCAGGGATCACTCCTGATAAGATCAAAGGACCATATGGGACACCAGGATTGAACCTAGGTTCGCTGCATGCTATGCAAGAGCCCTACCTACGGTACTATGCCTCCATCCTCAATGCCTATTTATTTTTGATGAATGTAGACTTAGGAAAGAAAATCCCCAGGGACATTCTTGATTTCAAGATTCAGGCATCATTCCCCCTGCCAACTGTGTCCCTGCTGGCACCTCTTGAGACCCTTGAGGTTTGAAGTTCCAGTCATATGACCTGGGGACTTCACAGCAACTGAACTTTAGGGGAACAGGAGCAGCAATTATGCTAGTTGCTGAAACCATCACTATAGTTGGAAGCACTTTCATATTCCAAAATAAAGAAAAGTTACAGACCAATATTAAAAATTGAGACTATTAGTCAAACCATGTTTTGATTAGATTAGCAAGATTTCCTGCTTTCCTCCCCCAACCAGATTGATGCAAGTAATTAGGAAAAACAATAGTTATCTTTATTTTCAACCATTCTCACTTTCTGCTCTTCATCTCCTCTTTAATTAGAATCTTAAAAATACAAACAAGGGGGGCTGAAGAGATAGCACAGCGGGTAGGGCATTTGCCTTGCATGCGGCCGACCCGGGTTCAATTCCCAGCATCCCATATGGTCCCCTGAGCACCGCCAGGAGTAACTCCTGAGTGCAGAGCCAGGAGTAACCCCGTGCATTGCCAGGTGTGACCCAAAAAGCAAAAAAAAAAATACAAACAAGGGGGCTGGAGCAATAGCACAGCGGGTAGGGTGTTTGCCCTGCATGTGGCCAACCCAGATTTGACTCCCAGAATCCCATATGGTCCCCTGAGCACTGCCAGGAGTAATTCCTGAGTGCAGAGCCAGGAGTAACCCCTGTGCATCGCTGGGTGTGACCCAAAAAGCTAAATAAATAATTTTTAAAAATACAAACAAACAACAACTTTTAAAAGAACAAGCAAAACAAGAAAAAATATTTTAAAAATCTTAAAAATTGTACAGTATTAGCATTATTAGACCAAAGTCAATAACTTTCAGCTGACTTATCCCTGTTTTTTTTAGCCCATTAGGATAAACATGTTTTCAGGGGCATTTTTCAAAGGATTAAAGAAGAAGAAGCAGCAGCAAAGGGATTATTCCCTAAAAGAAAAATCCCAAACATGCCTGTGGATAAATTATAGGTTGAAGTCAGGGTAATCATCTGATGACATCTGGATATTCAGAATAGGAAAAAAAAATAGGAGAAGATTTGGGAAGAGAATGACAAATAAGACTTCTTAGCTGTGTGGCAATGTACATGCTAAGTAAATTTGGTTTCTCCTCTACTTGAAGATCATCAAGAAAGTAATGAGTGTAGGGGCTGAAGAGATGGTACAGCAAGTCAGACATTTGTCTTGGCACATACCTGACCCAGGTTTGATCTCCACCACCCCCATGGTCTCCCTAACCCTTAGCCAGGAGTAATTCCTGAGTGCACAGCTAGGAGTAACGCCTGAGCATCGCTGGGTATGCCCTTCCCCCAAAAGAGAAAGTGATGACTGTTGATGCCCATGTCACAGAGCTTTGACCAGTGGCCAGTGAGTTGAGTTAGACCAATGCGATGACAGTTCTGTTTGCACAGACCGTTGTTGGTTGGGAAGCCAAAATTTCTAACTTACTGGATCTCACATTGAATCAGCTCATCACGCAGACCCATTGCCTTGGGAGTCACCCAGAGTGCTGACTCCATGGAAGGCCCTTTCTTCTCTTGTGTAGCTCAGTAATCGAAGAGACACCACCACCACCACCACCACCACCACCCTGCCATGACTGGGCTAGGCTGACACTTGGGGCCCTTGGTGCTTCAGATGCCTTGGCCTCAGGGAGGCTAATGTGAGAAGTTGTCTTTGCTATGAAATTAGGAGCTGATATGAGACGCAGATCTAGTGGCAGAGAGGAAGACGAGGAGGAACTTCTGAGACGCCGGCAGCTTCAAGAGGAGCAGCTAATGAAGGTGAGTCCATTGGTCCATTTGGTGGGTTGTGTTGTGGTTTTAATAACTCCTATGAGCAAGCCATCATGAGGAGCAGGGGGTGGCCCCTGACATCAAGGCTAGGAGTCAGCTCAGTCATACATGATGACCCTCTCATTATCTGCTGACTCTACTAAGGCTCAGAATTGAGGGAGCTCTGAAGGAGATAACCTGGGGACAGGTCAGGGGCCCCGGACTGTGGGCTCTTGGCAACAGAGACTGTAGGAGCCCAAACAGGTGTGTGTGAGCTAGTGACATTGGGAAGATGCTCAAGGAGAGGCTGGAGGGACAGTACGACATGGAGGGCATTTGCCTTGTGCATGGCCAACCCAAGTTCAAACTCAGGCATCCCAAATGGTCCCCGAGCCCACCAGGAATGATTCCTGAACACAAAGTGTAAATTCCAAGCATCCCCCAAAATATAGCCCCCCCCAAACTCTCCTTGTCCAAGGACAGCTAAGGCAAGCACCCTTACTTAGTTATAAGGTTATACTTACCACCCTCTTAACAGTGCTGCCAAACAAATGCCCTTGAGTTGAACATTTCTCCAAGTCCTGTCTCAGGGCTCGGGACTTCATCAGTGTGTACCCGGCCCAAGGAGAGGGGATAAAACAGACTCCCCCAGGGAAATCCTGGTTCTATGCCAGTCTCTAGCAAAAGAGCTCTCTTTTGTAGCCCCTCAGAAGACCAACATACAACAGCCAATTATGGCGTGGGGTCAAGAGAGCCCAGAAACTGAAGTTCTTACCAAGAAGGCATTGCTGAATTCGTGACCTTTTCCCTTAAGACACTTAGTCATACAGAAATTTTAGTGGAACTGGCTCCGTGGAGAGGAAGGAAACAAGGTTGCATTTGTAGAGTGATCCCAGTTTTTGTGTAATATTTGTACAGAAAAATATACGCTGGGTGGGGTACGTCATGTTTATCTCTGGCAGATGATGATTTCATCTTGTCACTGTCACTGTCACTGTCCTCCCGTTGTTCATCAGTTTTCTCGAGCGTGCCCAGTAATGTCTCCATTGTGAGACCTTGTTGTTACTGTGTTTGGCATATCGAACACATCATGAGTAGCTTGCCAAGCTTTGCTGTGCTATGTTTCTAAAATCTATATAATTAGTGTATATGGAAAGGGCTGGAGCGATAGCACAGTGGTAGGGTGTTTGCCTTGCACGCAGCCAACATGGCCGACCCGAGTTCGATTCCTCCGCCCCTCTCGGAGAGCCCAGCAAGCTACTGAGAGTATCTCGCCCGCACGGCAGAGCCTGGCAAGCTCCCCGTGACGTATTCGAGATGCCAAACACAGTAACAACAAAGTCTCCAATGGAGACGTTACTGGGCCCGCTCGAGCAAATCGATGAACAACGGGAGGGCCTTTACCTTTTAGTGTACATGGATTTTTTTAAAAAATAAATCAACATAATTTATAATTTTTAACCTTTTGACACCTTCCACACCCATCTGGGTTTTCTAATGATTAAAAACCCACTGACATCGTTTCTTTGTGAAGAGACTTTGTGAAGGTCTCCAGTCTCCCCTTCCCATACCAAAAATTCGCATGCAGGACCAGAGAGACGATGGGCGGGCTGCTTCCATTGCATGCAGGTTCAATACCTATGTGGTCCTTCCAAGACCAACAGGTTTTGCCCCAAAGAACAATTAACACACACCACCTGAGATTACTTGCTAGCACTTTTATGGGTGGAACTAGATGGGAGAACATCCTTCAGGTGGGGAATATGCTTAACAACATTGAAATGGTTGAGAAGGGTTCAGACTCCAAACCCTACCCCAGACCCTCATGAACCATCAGGCGCTGTAGCTACAGATACCCCAAACTCTCCTTTTGAGAATGAGTAGACGCTACAGGTCACAGCTTCACCTTCCTTGCTCTCTTCTCTGTGACTATAGCTCAACTCAGGCCTGGGGCAGTTGATCCTGAAAGAAGAGATGGAGAAGGAGAGCCGGGAAAGGGCGTCTCTCTCAGCCAGTCGCTACGATTCTCCCATCAACTCAGGTGAGCCAGCAGCAGACCTGCAGTCTTCCCCAGGGGCGCGCTCCCCTCCTGCCTCCCAGGAACCCGCCTTGACCGTCCCGGGAAATGCTGAGCCTTTTCTGGAGAGACCTGCAGAGTGTTCTACCAGAGAGGAAGTGGGAGAAGCTCACTTCCTGCCTACTCAGCTTCCTGATGAGCCTCTCAGGATCTTTCCTTAAGTGTGTGTCTCCTGCCTGCTGGTAGGTGGGAACTCTCCACCTCTCCCTCGGAGCATCTCAAGAGCCATGAAGATGGCTCAGCTCCTGAGCAAGAGCTGCCTTTTAGAATATTTTCTCAGCAGCAACAGAAAGGAAATCTTTCTTCTTTTTTTTCTTTTTGGGTCACACCCAGCGATTCACAGGGGTCACTCCTGGCTCTGCACTCAGGAATTACCCCTGGAGGTGCTCAGGGGACCATATGGGATGCTGGGAATCGAACCCGGGTCAGTGGCATGCAAGGCAAAGGCCCTACCTGCTGTGCTATTGCTCCAGCCTCCAGGAAATCTTTCAAATAGGATGCTTCTAAATTCCAGAAATTGTGGAGAGCATTTTCTAAGCAACATGCTTTTACAGGAACAAATGCAGAAGAACTGAAAGCTAGTATTTTGACACCTTTGGAGGACATATATACCTACATATATTATATATATAGCTGTATTGGTCCTTCAGTGTAATTTCTCCTGCTTGTGTGTGTTTTTTTTTTTACAAGCTAATTCTTGTAACCTGCAAGAGATTCCTAGTCTGAATAACTTCTCTTCAAAAGCTTCCTTTTAATATGTGATTAGTGTTTATACACTGTAACATTTTATTTTAATATTTAACTTTAAATCATTATTTTATCACAGTGGTAGGGCGTTTGCCTTGCACGCAGCTGACCCAGCCGACCCGGGTTCGATTTCTCCACCCCTCTCAAGAGCCCGGCAAGCTACTGAGAGTATCTCGCCCACATAGCAAAGCCTGGCAAGCTATCCTTGATGTATTCGATATGATGCCAAACACAGTAGCAAGTGTCACAATGGAGACGTTACTGGGCCCCGCTCGAGCAAATCAGTGAACAACGGGAGAACAGTGACAGGACAGTGACAGCGCAGACCACTGAAATAGACTCTTACCACTGTATTTTTGTGATGATATAGAATTATCGTTTTATTATATAGATTATTATGCTTTAACTTTTCTCATCATCATCTGTTTTTGTAAGCCAGGAGGCAGGAATAAGTGGTCTAAATCACTTCCCAATTTCAAACAAGGTCTGAGGAGTCCAAGTACAATCCCAGAATACAGTTTTTTGTTTGTTTTGGGGGTTGTTTTGTTGGTTTTTTGTTTTGTTTTGTTTTGTTTTGGAGGGTTGAGGGAGGGTGTTGGGCCACACCAGGGTTTGCTTCAGGCTTACTCCTGGCTCTGTGCTCAGGGGTCACTCCAGCTGGTACTATGGGACCATGTGTGGTGCTGGGGGTCCAACTGGGACTGGCCACATGAAGGCAACCACCTTCCCCACTGTATTATCTCTCCAGTCCACAGTCCACTCTTATTTTTAGTTTGTTTTGGGGCCACATCCAGTGTTACTCAGCACTTACTCCTGGCTCTGTGCTCAGGAATCACTCCTGGCAGGGCACAGGCTTATTAGGGAGCTAACCCAGGCAGACCATGTGCAAGGCAAGCACTCTGCCCACCGTACTATCTCTTTGACCCCCAGCGTTCACTCTTGACTGAATGTCCTGCCACCTCTCCTTGGTGCCTCACCAGCATGCACCTTGGGTCGGATGGCACTCTAGACATCAGAATTTGTCCTAATTCTCTAGTCAGTTATTTAAGGATATCTCAGCTCAAGGAAGGAAGACATGTAAGGATGAAATCCAATACCCAAAACTGCAAAGGTTCTAGGTTACACTGTAGCACGGTAGCACTGTTCTCTCTTCTTCAATTTGCTCCAGCGGGCCCAGTAATATTGTGAGACTTGTTGTTACTGTGTTTGGCATATGGAATATGTCATGGGGAGCGTGTCAGGCTTTGCCATGCGGGCTAGATATTCTTAGGAGCTTGCAGGGCTCTCCAAGAGGGGCAGAGGAATCGAACTCGGGTCAAGGCAAACGGCCCTACCGTTGTGCTATCACTCCAGGTTACAAAGCCAGATTAAACCTGGATCTGCTCCATCCAGACTGCAGGACCTTCTGAGGTGTGTGTGTCATTACTGGACAGTAGGCTCTAACCCAGGCCTCCCGTGAGTCCAGCTGTGGTCAGCCAGGAGACCGTTGGTAACTGATTGTGCCAGTGAGAAGCCACTGTCTTCCCAGCTAGGGCCAAATCGTTGCTTAGCGCTTTCCAGGCTAAATGACCTCGGTCGAGAGGCATCACTTCTTTTAGCCCGTATTTGTTCTGTCAAATGTCTATGTTATTGGTGTTACTAGGATCGTACTGAGAATTCAGAGAAATAAACCTTCCAAGCTTTTAGCTGTATATCAAAATTGTGGAAGCATTAGCTCCAGATACCTGCCCTTTTCCTTAGCAGGAACACTGCTACCCCTGACCTGTACCCCAAACATGGGTAGCGTTCTCTGAACACTTGAATCCAAAACTGGTTTGTTTTCTTTCTATATCTTCTCTATACATATCAAGCGGCCTTGTCAATTTTATAAGGACTTAAGCTTCTGATTTGCTAACACTTGCTTGTTGGCCTTTTTCTCCTTCAGCTTCACATGTTCTGACATCGAAGACCTCATCTCTCCCAGGCTATGGAAGAAACGGGCTTCACCGGGTGAGGCTTTCTCCATTCCTCTAGACCTGACCTGTCCACTGTCCTGACATAGTGCCTGAGTAGGTCTCACAGTCGGAGCTCAGCACAGGCTAGGATAAGCGTTGTAATCCCCCAAAGTGCTTTGAGTTACTGGCAAAATTGAAGATTTCTCTTGAAAGAAAGCAGAAATTGGGGCCGAAGTGATAGTACAGCAGGGAGGGTGTTTGCTTTATACACGGCCAACCCGGGTTCGATCCCCGGCATCCCATATGGTCCCTCAAGCACTGCCAGGAGTAATTCCTGAGTGCAGAGCCAGGAGTAACCCCTGAGCATCACTGGGTGTCACCCCTCCAAAAAAAAATAAGAAAGCAGAAATTGACGTCATGTCAGAGACTAGCCTGCATAGTTTATGTGTGGGAGGGGGAGGGGGTGGGGAGAGAGAAGGGGTAGGGAGGAAGGAGGGAAATGAAGTAATGGCAGAGTGAGATTTTCTACAACCAAGCAAAAGTCATACTCGTGGCATAGAAGTTGCTTAGTACAGCCATCGTCATGAAGCACAGAGCAGTGCGAATGTGAGAACGTATGGGAAAATGTGATTTTTGTGACCAGCATGAGATACTGCCTTACCAAGGGTCCCTCTAACCAGTGGTGCAGGATCGAGCATGTAGGACAGTGGATGAAATAGGGAAGAAAAATCATGGCACATATGCTGCCCGAGCCCATGTGCTGCCTGCATCCATGTTGCCGAGCACATGCGGTACCTAAGCACATGTGTGACCCGCATCTCCCCTCTTGAGCTGTGTACTTTCTTGCTTTCCTGTCTAACGCTGGGATGTAAGTAGAGGCTCAATCCACCCCTGGAGATGCCCGGGTTCTCTCTTTGATCACGTTACTCTCCGCTCTCTCTCTCTCTCATTTTTTCTCCCTCCTTCCTTTCAAAACCTCCAAATAAAAACTGTGTAATTTCACTTAAAGAGGAAAAGAAAAATCATACGGGACCAGGGTCCGGCTTGGGAAGAATTCTTAAGATTGTGTTGATAGGTTTGTTGCTCCTTTTCGGGATTCCAAATGATCCCTGGGCCGTAGTTTTTCTGATCCGCTGTTCTCCTCATTGCAGCCCGTTTCCACGGACTTCGCCCAGTACAACAGCTTCAGGGACGTCAGTGGGGGAGTCCGAGGTAAGGCTGAGGTTAAGAGGTTGAACAACCGCAGCGGGTAGAGCCAGAGAGATGGGACAGGGGTGAAGGGTGAAGGTGCATGACCCAGTTCGATCTCCAGCACCCTTTCATTATCTGGCACCACTGGGCACAGTCCCTGAGACCCCTGAACGTCACTGGGGTAAACCCAGCACAGCAAGGCTCGAGCAGCACCTTCACCTGACCCTGACACTTGAGCCCCTGGCCAGGTTAGCAGAAGATCCAAAAGAGCACCACTTGAGAAACCCCTACCCAAAGAAAAAGTAACTAAAGCCATGCACAAGTGGGGTAGCTGGGTTTATGCTGTGTTCAGACCTGAGGCAGAGGCCAGAGTGGGTGGGGCACTTGCCTTGCACGCAGCCAACCCAGGTCCTATTCCTGAAACCATAGGGTCCCCCGAGCTCATCAGGAGTGATCCCTGAGTGCAGAGTGAGTAAACCTGAACACAGCCAGCCTGGCCCAAAAACCAAAAGCGGGGAGAAACAAAAGCAGAACACTTAAAGTAGGATCGCAGGGCTAGAGAGAGAGGGAGGGCACCACCAACCCGGGTTTGATCCTGGCATCCTATCTCATTCCCCGAGCACTGCCAGGAGTGATCCCAGAACACAGAGCCAGGAGTGAACCAGTGAACCCTGAACACCACCAGGTGTGGCCCAGAAACCCCAAAATAAAGTTCTTCTTTGAGGGCTGGTAGAGCACTATTAAAAGTTCTGATGAGGGGCTAGAGGATAGTGGGTAGGGCGTTTGCCTTACATGTGGCCAACCCGGGTTCGATTCCCGGCATCCCATATGGTCCCCGGAGCACTGCCAGGAGTGGTTCCTCAGTGCATGAGCCAGGAGTGACCCCTGTGCATGACCAAGCGTGACCCAAAAAGCAAATAAAATAAATATAAAAGCCAATGAGTTCTCCAGAGAAATGAAACCACAAGGAGCCCATTTGTGGGGTGAATTCTGGTCCTGCCTGGCGCTCACCGCTACATTAAAAGCCTCAAAGTTCAGCAGTGAGCTGAGCCTGGTCCTGCCTCCAGTGTGGAATCGCAGTAGCTGAAGGCCCTGGGTTCGAACGTGTGATGAGAAAGAGAGGGAGGGGAAATGTGAGGAGTAGCCAGGGAAGTTTTCCCGAGAAAAGGATGATAACTAATAATCAAATCCAAAACGTGCATTTCGTGGCTTTCAGAAGACAGAGAGGGGTATGTGCAGAGATGGGGAGCAGGGAAAGAAGAACATGGCCCGTTGGGGATGGTTTGGGGAATGACTCTAGAACATTCTCTTACGCTTGTGTCTGTCCATGCTCTCTCCCTGATGATACTTCTTTTCGTTTCCTTTCCAGACTACCAGGTATGAAACACTGTCTCGGTCTTGCCCGTGCCACCAGGCCAAGCCATCTTGTCACCCAGGGAAGGTTTCAGTGGATCTGTTAGTCTCTCATTATTGGGGGGGCCCTGGGGAGCTGGCAGGCCATTCCAACTGTCCCTGTAGGGGAGGGAACTTCTTTTTCTGGCATCAAAGTTGTGATGGACACAGAGAAGAGGGGGAGAGGTGAAAAATCCATCATATTTCATATGATTTGCTTCATCTAAATTAATGCTGCTGGGTAAAAAAGCTTCTAAATGAATTGGATGAATTTTGAGTCTGGCAGGGCCAGACCCAGTCACTTTTTTTAAAATTTTTTTTTTAATTTTTTTTTTTATTAGTGAGACATCATGTGGTATAGTTGTAGACTTAGAAATTTCTGTGCTTGGGTTTCAATTATACAATGATTAAATACCCATCCCTCCACCAGTGCCCATTTCCTACCACCACGGATGCCAGTATCCCTCCCACCCCCCACCCCACCCCCAGCCCACCCTGCCTCTGTGGCAGGGCATTCCCTTTTGTTCTCTCTCTCTCTTATTGGGTGTTGTGGTTTGCAAAAGAGGCAATGGGCAGACCCAGTCACTTTTGTGTACCTTCTGAGGCACCCAGGCCAGCCATTCCTCGACTTGTGCTGTGTTGAGGACATGAAATGGACTAGACTGGGTGTCTGGCCTCGGTCTCCCTGGGGTAGGAGTAGGCCTGTGTCAAGGCCCTGCCCTTGTTCTTTCCTTTTGTTATTACCGTAGTGCAGTTTCTCCTCTGCCCTGCTTCGTCCCCAGTGAGGAGAAGTCCCCATGTTGGCAAGTGCTATTAGGCGAGTTCTGGTACCATTCCTTTACGTCTCAAACCCGAGCCTTATCCTATCGTGGTCACAATAAGAAAATAGCTTTCACAGACTTGGCGGTTGGCTGCTTAGTTTTAAATGCCTAGAACCTGAACCAGTGCCTGAGTCAGAGTTCCTGAGGTCAGGAGCTCCCCTCATGGGTTACCCAGAGAACAGCCTTCCTCCAGGCGTCTCAGGCTGGAAAAGCCGAGTTTCTTGCCACAGTAGAGCTCTAAGACAGTGGCGAGGCTCTGAGAGTCAACTAGGGGCTGGAGCAATAGCACAGCGGGTAGGGCATTTGCCTTGCATGTAGCCCACCCGAGTTCGATTCCCAGCATCCTATATGGTCCCCAGAGCACTGCCAGGAGTAACTCCTGAGTGCAGAGCCAGGAGTAACCCCTGTGCATTGTCAGGTGTGACCCAAAAAGCAAAGAAAGAGTCAACTAGGGAAGGATGACCCCCTGCTCCCCCCACCCACTCCACCCACTCCGGCTGGGTGCCGGGGGGCAAGGCTGGCCCCGAGCTTGTTGTGTGCTGCTCCTTGAACAAGCTTTTCTGCGGCAGACCCTCCCGGACGGCCACATGCCTGCGATGAGAATGGACCGAGGCGTGTCCATGCCCAACATGTTGGAACCAAAGGCAAGTACCACTCTTCCCCACCCTCAACTCAGGGGCAGCGCCGGGACCCCGGCCTCCACACAATGACAGGGCTTCTATCTCAGCCTCATTCTCAGGAGTTCGAGAGCCCGTTGGCTGTCACCTGAGCCCTCGCCATGCTCTGCGGGACCTTGCCATTTCCCTGGATAGGGCACTGTGTGTCCCCCGAGGGAGAGTCATGGCACCTGTTTCCTATAACCTCCCATTCACTCACGCCCCTGTCTCTACACGCTGGCCCCATGCCCAGTGCTGAGAGCAGCTGCAGGCCATGGCAGGTGGGGCACACCAGCCCAGGGTGCTTGGGCCGTTTCCAGGTTTAGCATGGCACGTCTTACTTACATCAGGGTCAGCCTCAGTTCAAGGCTACGGGGGGAGGGGGTGGTCACTCAGAAGGGTGGCCATTCAGTGCTGCCAGTGGCTACTCCTGAGTGCATTTCCATCTATCGGGTACCCGAACATGGCTTCCGGCTGCCGGAGCCCACACAGAGCAGGACTGTGGAGTCTGCACAGAACTATGGGCAGCCCCAACTGTGGACCCGAGCTTTCACCTCTCTGCTTCTCTTCCTTCCCAGGAACCTTCCCTTCTCTTCCTTCTCTTTCTTCCTTCACATGTTCATCTCCCTTCAGACAACAAGACCTGCCCCCGGCACAGTCACTTGCCTTGCACGTGACTGGCCCTGGTTCAGTCCCTGCTGGTGTGACCCCTCCCCCAAACCCAAATAAATGCACAAGAGCCACAGGTTGCTCCCCTGATCTGTGGGGAAATCTCCTGGATCCATGGGGGAAAATCCCCTGACTCTTGCAGGCCTCTACTGGGGCCCCTACGGCTGCATCCCGGGGGGATTCCCTCGTGCTCGTTTGTAGAGTGGACCTCCAGGTTCTAGAACAGCTGTTCTATCTTCCACAGATATTTCCCTATGAAATGCTCATGGTGACCAACCGAGGGCGCAACAAAATCCTCAGAGAGGTGGACAGAACCAGGCTGGAGGTAAACATTTTATAGACTTTTTTTTAAATATAAACAAAATGCATAGAGTTATGTAAAATATGTAAGACTAATATTTTTACCATTATCTAGATATTTTTATTACCAATTTTATTACCGTAACATAGATAGAATTATAGATACCCAGTCTCGATGGCATGTCCTTTCTTGTTTTTCCTCCTACTTTCCTATTAAGAAATATTTCAGTGGAAAAAAAGGGAAAGGATCACATCCTGGGTAGATGATTACAAGAAGGTTATAGAGGGAAAACATCCAAATACCTATGTATGTATTTAGCACTGTAGCACTCCCATTGTTCATCGAATTGCTCGAGCGGGCGCCAGTAATGTCTCCATTGTGAGACTTGTTGTTACTGTTTTTGGCGGGTCGAATATGACACAGGGAGCTCGCCAGGCTCTGCCACGTGGGCAGTATTTAGCAGATGAGTATAAAATGTGAGGTAGCATAAACTCTAAAACAGGGGCTGGGGTTCTGCGGTTAGAGCATGAGCCTTATATGTGAGGCCTGGAGTTTGATCCCTGGCACTGGGAAGAGGGAGAAATAAAATGTGCAGGAGTTCAGTGGTTAGGGCCCTTGCACGCAGCCTAGCTGGGTTGAATCCCGGACACCACTTACGGTCCCCTGAGCATCACTGAGTGTGACCTAAAAACAAACAAACCCAAATCCAGAGACATGGCATGATTTTCCTCTTTTTCTTTGTAGAGACTGGATGTTGGCATCCTTGAGTCCGGGAATGTGCAGTGGGCATCTCTCCCTGCCTGCCCCCTTCCAGAAAGATCTCTGACTGAGATCTTTCCCCAGAGCCCTGGAGAGAGAGGGAGGAGAGGGAGTGAGATGGAAGGGGTTTTCCTGGAATGGCATTCTCTTCCGGCCGTTTCCGCATTCCTGGTGGAAGGGTTATCTGGGTCCACGTACCCAAGACCTCCTTAGCCGTGAAACACTGATCTTTGTACTTTTCCATCTGAGTGGTTTTAATTAAGAAAAACTCTGGCTGCGTTTCATCAGGAGTCATTACTGTTCCCGGCCAGAGGGCGGCCTTTGGTAGGCAGGTCGGGAGGACGCAGGCCCCGGTCTCTGAGGGAGCTTAGCTAGGAGGTCCCATGGATAGAAGTTCTCAGGGGACCTCCTGTGGCTGAAACCGGAAGAGGAAACCCTGGAGCTCCCCCTAGGACCCTCCTAGAAGCCCCTGGCTTGCTGTTGTCCTTTCCCCTACATCTTCTCATCCTGCTCACTCAAGACGGACTCGCCTCATTAATCCGTACCCTTCCTCTGCACTTTCATCAGTCAGATGAGAATATCTGCTCCCCTGGTGCATGGAGGCGAGGGGGCCTCCCCAGGCCAGCCCAGACGCCCAGAGAATATTCCTTCGGGTCCACTGCCTTGGAGGGTGACCCCTGTGTCCCCACTCAGCCTGGCTCCCCGACGCCCTGTGCTGTGTGTGGACAGCCTGACCCCTGTCCTTCTCTCCCTCCCTCCCCCACAGCGCCACTTAGCCCCTGAAGTCTTCCGGGAGATCTTCGGAATGTCCATCCAGGAATTTGACAGGTTACCTCTTTGGAGACGCAACGACATGAAGAAAAGAGCCAAACTCTTCTAAGTCCCGCGCCGCTGGCCATCGGAGAAAGAGCCCCGCGCCGGCAGAGGCCTGGAGGCTTCGGTGTGACGGGCCCCACCCAGCTCGACATTTGCAAGTTGCTGTCTTGCAGTAACCGAAAGCAAAAACCAAAACCCAAAAAAAATTAAAAGTGGGGGTAGGGTGGGGTGGGGTGGGGAGGGAATCGGATTCATACACCCAGAGGCCACGCTCAGGCCAAATCATGGGCAGCACTTGCCAAGAAGCAATGGGGAAGACCTTCCTGCGTCCCCCGTACTGGACAGTAGTGCTCACACTGACCTTTTTCTATCCCCTTGAGCCCACCGAGGAGTTTCTGCTTTTGTTTTCCTTTCCCTCTTGTCCAGCCACAGGGCGGCCCGTGGGGGTGAAAGCCAGCAAGTGCCCTTAGGAGCTGCCTAGTGAAAAAACGCTGGAGCTGGTCCAGGGAGGAAGTTCTGCTGGGGGGCGTGGGGGTCTCCAGGGCAGGCGCTGAGGGTCCCGTGCAGGCGGCAGCAGCCTTTTGCACTCGCCTCTCCCTCCTGGCTTCCGCATGGCCAGGACTCAGGGAACCAAGTGGGCAGTGCTGTCCAGGGGGCCGGCCAGCAATCAGAGTCATTTTTTTCACAAGCCCCTTGTTCTCTCCTGTGTGCTCAGCCCTGGTTGGCAAATTCCTTGACCTCTTTTTTTTTTTCTTGGCTTTTTTTTCTTCTTTGCTGTTTTTTTCTAAAGTGTTTGAAAGAGAAGGAAAAGGAATGAAAGGAAAAGCTCCCTGGACTCTTTTTTCGACTTCAAGTGGTCTGCTTTGTTCTTCCCCCCCTCCCAGGATCAGGGGCCCGTCTCAGATCTCCACTTTGCCAAGGAAGGAAAGGGAAAACTGGCTTCCGGTTGGCCCACTTGCATGCTGATCGGTGGGGCCATAGCACTCACAGCACACACCACACACACACACACACACACACACAAATAAGGGGCTCTGTCACTTCCCAGCACGCATCCCTGCTTGCCGGCACTCTGGGATCAGATCAAACCCGTGCCACTTCGGCTTTTCTTTTTCAAGGTCTTTTCAATAATATGCTACGATGAGGCATGTTTTTCTCTCTTAAATTTCCGTACCACTAAGGTAGCTTGCCTCCAACTGATTTATCTTGACCTTAATGGCTTGCATACTTGCCTGTGTTCAGAGCCTCTGTGTGTGTGTGTGTGTGTGTGTGTGTGTGTGTGTGTGCTCACTAGATAGCTGTGTGCCTTGGCTTCTTCCTGCCACTGCAGTGTTGGCCCTGCCGTGCTGCCAGGGACTTGTGCACAGGTGCATGGGGCTCAGAGGTCAAGGGTCAAGCTAGAGAATACCCCCCAGGAGCACCTCCTTTCTGGAAGGGTATTGCTCCCCAGCATCCCCCACACTCCTGGATTTTTTTTTCCTTTGGTTCAAGTCAGCAATGACCACTTAGCAGGATGTTCCCTCCCTCCAGCCCCCCAATTTCGGTGAGGGTGTAAGACTCCCAGTGCTGACTCACAAATGCTGCTTCCTCTGTGGTGGGTCGGTGGGGACCCAACCACTGGAGGTGAATTCCTGGTGTTGTCGTGCTTTGGGACTCTGAATTGCGGTCCCAGCTGGGTTTTAAAACCAAAGGAAGAAACAAGTGCATTCCGTGACATTGGCCGAAGATCTGAATGAGTTTGTAGCAGGGCCACCGTGGTGCAGAGGAGCACAGCCCGAGGGGTCCCCGCAGGCCCCTACCCACATCACGCCTGCCGGTGACCCAGCAGTGGCCGAGACCTGCTGCCAGGGGCTGTGTGGCTTTGGCGTCTCTGCCGTGCTCTTCATGGAGGAATCAGAACTCGCTTGGCCTTGGCGCCATGTACTGAGGACAGTTCTCTCAAGTCCCCGTGTGCCGGACCTGTTCATGGTGTTCCGTAGATGGTTCTGGAAAGGTGACCCCGAGGAGACCAGCTCCATGGTCTGAAGCCACTATGCAGCTCCCGCCTGTGTCCTTCACACACGCGTCACCCCCCAACCACCCCACCCACCCACCCCCATCACCCACTGGCCCACAGCAACTTCCACATGGCCCCACTGTGCCCTGGGCCTTGATCTGCTTTGACTGGGGAGTGGGGGGTGGGGGGGGCATGGTGGAATCCCCATATTGCCTGCCACAGTCTGTCCCAAAGATGATGACCCATGGGGTCCGAGCCCTTGGCTGGCAGAGAAAGGAAAGGCTTTATCAGTTATGATAATTGTCAGTATGAAAAAAAAATCATCATGAACGTTAGCCAAATCCCCACTCTTGGCCAACGAAATGACTTTGCTCATACCCTTTGAACTCAGTTCTGCATCCAGCCAGGGCGGTGGGGGAGTTGGGGGGGGTGGTGCAGGGAGAGGAGGCGTGGAGAGCTTCGTTCATAGCAAGTGTAAGAGCACGTCTCAACTCCAGCAGGCAGAGCAGCGAGGCTGGTGGCCAGAACGGTGAGTAGAGAAAGACAAACCTTGCCTTTCTCTGCTAACATGGGCATCCCACCTGCCCGCCAGCAGATGAGCAGTGCGCTGTGCCGAGGGACAGGACATGGAACCCACTGGGCAAGTGCCACCCCCCCCCCCCCGACTCCACTGCCAGGCAGCAGTTCCCACTTCAAGAAGGGGCCAGGGCCCTCTGCCTCTAACTGTGACATCTGACGCAGGCACTGCAGTGCCCTACCCAGTTAGTTACATTGTGTCCCCCAGAGTGTCTTAGGCCTGTAACCCTGGGGATATGCTCCTCGCTAGGATCCCACATGGAGAATGCCCCGTGCCTCAGCACTGGGGACGGGGACATGTGTTGGCCAAGCTTCCCTGGGGGGAGCAGCAAAGGGCTATGCTTGCAAGCACTGAGCTTCCTCCACACCCCCACACCCCCAACGCCTGGATGGCACCACGCAGAGGGGCCCTTCATGACAACAGGACAACCAGTGCTTTCTTGGAAGCTCGCTCCAGAGAAGCCGGGGCACTCTCTAGTCTTCCCGGGAGCTTCCAGAGGAGGCACGCAGAGCATCTACTGCCAACGATGCTTCGACACGTTGGTTTGAGTCAGGAAGAGTTGAGATGTGACTCCTTCAACCACTAAAGATGAACTGCCTCTTCTCTGAAACCTCCAAAAGAAATGCTAGACAGAGAGAGACAGAGAGACAGAGAGAGAGTGATAAGGTGCATAAAAGGTCTTTTATTCTGTTGGATCCTATCGTCTTGTCGCTCCTCTCCCCTGTTGTTTCCAAGTCTCCCTCCCTCTTCTTCCGGGGTGGGCAGGAGTCGCATTTCCTCTTCCGGGGCAGCGCCAGAGCCACGTGCCTCTCAGCAGTCCTCTTCTGTCAACCCGGCTTGTCCTCCCGGAGAAGCCCCGCTGGACACGTTGATAGACCTTTCGCCGAATCCCTTCACACTTTGAAGCAATCCCCTTTTTCTAAACACATTGCTTCTCAGATGATTGTAGAGTTAACTCGCTTTTGCAAGTTTTCAATTTTACACCCCTTTGGATAAGCTGTCTTTCTAAAATATACATATATATATATTTAAAGTGAACTTGGGGTGAGTGTTCCTGCATGTTGAGGGGGCGGGGACTCCTCCGGTGGTGGGCTCAGGGGGGCCCTCTGTGTGACTGACATGAGGGGTGATGGAAGGAAGGTGACCTTCGCGTCACCCACCTTCCTGCGTCCTCGCAGACAAGTTTTGTCTTTCTCTACTCACCTTTTTCCTGGTCGCCATTTAACCTGAATGTCCAAGACCAGCCTTGATTTTAGTTCACTTTTCAAATTGTTTCCTTTTGCCAAACTGAGTGTTGGGTAGTCTTCCCTGAAACTCACTCCCTTAGTGTTCCCTTTGGTGAATGTTCTCTTTAGACCAAAACAAAACAAAACAAAAGATTATTTCAGGCTTGAGATTTGCAATGACTCCATCTAACAGTGATGTACCTTACTGACGGGAACCACCAAGCCCCGGTGCAGTGAACAAAAGAGAAACATGTTCTTGGAATGTTATTTTATTTTTTGAATCACTGTCTTTACATTTGCCGCCCAGGAAGCAAAGGGGTAGCGTGGTGACTGACATGCTTTTTTGCCTATGGATTTTTGTGCTTTTATGTGGACACGTGTAACGTATGGCAAACTTTAGAGGAAAAAAAAAAAGAAGGGGTGGGGGGAGCTATCAGTTTAAGCTGAAACTTTCTGAACAAATATATGTGTGCACAGCCAAGTGGAACCAATTCAGCATTTTCTGAAGCTTGTGTAATTGAGTGGCGATTGTTAACCTTAATAAAAATTCTTCCCCAAAGTGTGTCTCATGAGTAAAAATGGCATGAACCCATTTCTCAGGGGTCTGAAGGAAAGTGAAGAGCTGGTGTCTTCTCTCTTCTGTCAGAGAGCTGTATGTGTGTGTGTGTGTGTGTGTGTGTGTGTGTGTGTGTGTGTGTGTGTGAGGGAGGAGCAGGAGGGGTGCAGAGATGCATCCTCACAGCCCCTCCAGGAGTAAACATCCATGGTTTCTGTCAGGGCCCCACAGCCCTGCATTGAAGCTCTTGACTCTCCTCATTTTGAGTTGGGGCTTCTGGAATTTTCTCCCAAGAGTCAGGAGGTACCAAGCTGCTTCCCACACACCCTCCCCTTTCACGACAGCTAATATCTTGAAAGAGCTGCTCTAGGAAGGATGCAGGTGCCAGTATGCAGGGGTGGCCCACCCCTACCCCACCATCCTGGCTGCACTTGGCGCTGTCTTCCCACCCCACAAGGCTGCAGTTCCCCCGCTCACGTCCTGGGCCCCCAACTCCGTGTCTGCACTGTGTGCTTCCTTCGTCAGCCTCTCTACTCCATGGTGTCTTCCTTGCTGCCTTGAAAGAAAAACCTTCTCCCGTTTGAGAAAGATTCATCCCAGCTTCCAGGAGCCCAAACAAAATCAGAATCAAAAAATGCAGCGGTATTTTTTAATTATTTTTTTATTGAATCACCGTGAGTCTTACAAAATTGTTTATGATTGTGTTTCAGTCATACAGTGTTCCAACACCCATCCCTCCACCAGTGTCCTCAGTTTCCCTCCCACCCCTTCAAGCCACCACCTCTATGGCAGGAACCTCTCTTCTCTCTTTTTCTTTTTCTCTCTCATTTTAGGCATTATGGCTTGCGATACAGATGCTGAAAGATTATCATCTATATCTTTTTTTTTTCTTGCTTTTTGGGTCACACCCAGCAATGCACAGGAGTTACTCCTGGCTCTGCACTCAGGAATTACTCCTGGCGGTGCTCGAGGTCACCGTATGGGATGCTGGGAACCGAACCCAGGTCGGCCGTGTGCAAGGCAAATGCCCTACCCGCTGTGCTATCACTCCAGCCCCTATCATGTATATCTTACCTGCTTTCAATACTCAGTTCTTGTCCAGAGTGATAATTCTCAACTAATTTGTCATAGCGGGTCAAAACGCGTTTTGTTCTCTTGTTTTCTATTGGATAGGAAATGGTGAGTCTGTGATTTTTTATCCAAGAATCCAAACCAAACACTGAACCACATCATCTCATAGACCCATTGCTGTGGGCTGCCTTTGACACCCTGCAGTGGGTGGGATTGGAAGATGGGAGTGTGTGAAGGGTGAGCGCGTTCCTTTGACTTAGACAGGTAGATGCAGTGGGTGGAAAATTGTGAAACTTGAAAGGTAAGCTAGATTCTGAGTTACTTGTTCTGTTCTTCCTGTCTAGATTTTGGACTTGTGAGAAAGGCAATCTCCTGACCCACTGGCACAGCTATTAACACCCTCCACCTATCCAGCCTGCTGTCCTCATCAATCTTGCTCTCAGAACAGAAAACCAGACTGGGTGAAGGGAACAGCACACAGATACTTCCTTCTCCCAGTTCTGGGAATGGGAACCCCAAGGAGAGGGTGATAGGAGACACTGGCCCGGGGAGAACCTGCTTGGAGTGTGGGCAGTACCCACTTCTGGGCTCAGAGCAAACAGGAGGAAGGACACTCCCAGGCTTCAGAGGCCAGTGCACTTCCTAATACTGCCACCATCATGCTGACAGCGTGCTCTAGCCCTGAAGCTTAATACTAAAGGGATTAGGGCTTCAACATGTAGATTTGGGAGGAGGGAGAGAAGCATGAAACCCCTGCCCCCTCCCCCACACATCAGCCTTGTGGAGTCTTACCTGGAAGCTGGAGACGGTAATTCTCAAGACAGTTGGCATGTGGGGGCTAGAGGGATGGTACAGCGGGTAGGGCATTTGCCTTGCATGCAACCGACCCGAGTTTGATCCCCAGCACCATATATGGTCCCCAGACCTCACTAGGAGTGATTCCTGAGCCGAGAGCCAGGAGTAAGCCCTGAGCACCATCAGGTGTGCCCCCCCCCAAAACAAAATCAACAGTTGACATGTGGCGTTTCCTAGTGTAGGAAACTGGAAACTGGAGACTAGTGTAGGAAACTCCAGGTCTGTGCTCTGCTTGCCCCACACAAGCCTGATGAAGCCACACACGGCACGCAGCCTGTCTGGAACTCTGGAGTATCTGAGCCTTCAGCGTTTCCGTGAACCGTGAGCCCCTGCCTGTCACGGTCAGCCTCACTCTGCAGTGCTCTCAAGCCATAGACGTGCAGGACCCTTTGTGACCAACCAGCCTCACTTCTCTTGTTTCTCAGCTTCCCTCCCCTCGTGCCTGACTCTTGCCTTCCAGCAAGAATCTTGACTTCTCGCCTTCCAGCTTTCAGACCCCTGCTCTGCCCCCTGTAAATCCCCTGTCCACCCCTGCCTGGCTCACCTTATCTGCTTTGCCAATGATGCTTCTTCTGTGCCGTGTCCGACTCTTTCAGTGAGTGCGAGTGGAGGGTCGACCTAGGTCCGGAGAAGGGAAATCAGAGCAACATAGTTTGAAATGCTCTTTGGAGTTGTCCACGTGGATCTCCCTTGGGCTCCACTGGCCTTAAGTAGGAGACAGGAGAGCCCACGCCCTCCCCATGGTTCGCCCTAGATGGGCCCAGCCCAGCCATCCCAGGCCATTCTTAGCATACCTGCTTGGTCATCAGCTTGGACCCGGGTCAAACGTTGCCTAGCAGCGCTGGCTCTGCAGGGGTTTCGGTTTCTCTGTTGAGCTGGAATGCGTCTTCTCCACTTTGAGATCCAAGCTCTGTGTTTGTTGTGCTGTAACTTCATAACAGCCTTACCAGACAGAAAACTGCTTGTAGGCCATGAGAACAATAAGAAAACACCACTCAGATGCTGAGAAGATTCCCGGCTCTCAGCCAGCAAGCAGCAAAGCTGGGGTTCCCCATGGGTGTCCTCTGCAAATCCCAGGCACTTTTCCTCCACATGCCAGCCTGGGGCTTCTTGAGAGCAAAGACTGTGTCTCCCACATTCTGCTCCTGTTGGGTGCCCACTGCATAAGAGTTATGAGACCAGCCACCATCCCCATCATGACTGCCAAGATTAGCAATCAGCTTCTCCAAGTTTTAGTCTGTCCGTCTGAAAACATGGACAAAATGATAATACTCCACGACAGAGTAGTGGCTACATTACAATGCTGGCTGAACCCAGTGCAGTGCCTCACTCAGAGCAACTGTCCAGAAACTCTGTGATCTTTATTAAAAGTAACTCAGCAGAGAGAGAGAGAGAGAGAGAGAGAGAGAGAGAGAGAGAGAGAGAGAGAGAGAGAGCAAAATGGGCTGAGTGCATTCTTTGAGCATGGGACGCCCGAGTTCAATCCCCTCTGTGGACACCCCAACACCGTCAGGAGTGATTTGCAGGCACCATTGGGTATGGCTCCAAAACAACTAGAGTACCTGGGCTCGGGAGACAGCTCTGTGGGAGTAGGCGTGCCTTGCTTGTATGATGAGACCACGGGTTCAATCCCCTTCTCCCCAAGAGAGTAACCACTTTGATGTGAGGACCCCATGAGGAACCTGAATCAGTAATGAATACCCACTCTTAGGGACTCTCTTAGGGATCCTGAGCCTGAATGAAGTCAGGCCAACTGCCAGGATACAGGAAAACAGTCCGTGAGGAAGGGGCGTTAGTAGTGCCTGCACCAGACCTAGAGCTGTTTCTAATGGTATATTCATTTCAGAACTTCCGTTGGGGCTTTTTCTCTCTGGCCTTCATGTTAAGACTCCAACTTTTCAGACTTCTTTTACTGGTCAGCACTTCTTCTTCCCCACCCCCCCGCCCCCCTTATATTTATTTATTGAATCACTGTGGGAAAAGTTACAAAGCTTTCACGATTCAGTCTCGGTCATACAATGATCAAACACCTTTCCCTTCACCAATACATATTTTTCACCACCAATATACGCCCCTCCCACCCCTCCCAATGCCCGTGAGGCAGATGATTTCTACTTAAATCTCTCTCTACTTTGATTGCATTCATTATTTCGACAAAAGATGCACCATTATTGTTTAGAATTTCCCCCCCCCCCCCCCAACAATCAGAATTTGGTCAGCACTTCTTTTTTTTTTTAATTTATTAGTGAAACACCATGAGGTACAGTTGTAGACTTACAAATTTTTGTGCTTGGGTTTCAGTTAATACAATGATCAAGAACCCATCCCTCCACCAGTGCCCATCCTCCACCACCACGGGTCCCAGCATCCCTCCCCCGCCCTCCCCGTCCCCACATCCCACCCTCCCTCTGTGGCAGGGCATTCCCTTTTGTTCTCTCTCTCTCTCCTTTTGGGTCCTGCGGTTTGCAAGAGAGGCATTGAGTGGCAATCATGTCTGGTCAGCACTTCTTGACTGTTTTCGTAACAGCCATCTCTGGGCAAATCACCATCAGGGTGGAGGTGCCCTGCGGATATGCAAAAGCTAAAGTTGTCCCATGCATTCAGAACAAACTCCAGCATCAAGCTACCTTGATTCAAGTTCCTGGATGATGCCAGTAATTAGCCGTGGAACAAGTGACAATTTGCATGGCGTCTCTAAGCCCCGATTTCTATTGATAGAAACTGGAAATAATAATCATCTCTACCTCCAAGCATTCTGGGGAATTCTCTCGTGTTGAACACGATCCAGCACGGTCGGAAAAGCGCAGGACATAAGCTTTTATTCATCAAGTTGCTACCATGCAACTGAGACCCGCGTTGGCCCAGTACTGAGCTAAGTGTGGTCCTGGCTCATTTCCGGCCACTCACAGGCCTTCTCTTTTGCACCCACAGACCCGGTCTACAGAGTCTAAGCATCTTATTCCCAATATGCCTGCCTGGTGGTGTGGCTGGGATTCGGAAAAGGGTCCCTGCATCCTGCCGCCCTCCCTCCCCATCGTGCCCTCCCTGGGCATCGTGACCAGCCAGGGAGACAGACACCATC